GGCGTAGTGACAGCAATGACGGGCGATGCGGTGCCATATGCGCTTGCTCTCGGCAATTTTGTCGTCGGAGGCGTCGTCGGTGATGACGATGACGACGACGGCCGGGATGGCGCGCATGTATTCGTCCACGGGGTAGAAGGGCGATTGAGAGAGGGTGCGCGGGAACGGGTACATGGAAACAGGGACTTTGGCGACGTAGTAGCGGTTGGAAAATGGAGTGGTTTCGTTTGGGCTCATGCGGAAATGCGTCAGGAGGATGTCGTCGATCGCGGCGGATTCTGGCACCGGGATCGCGACGAGGGCGTGTGGCAGAGGGCGTGTTGCAGAGTGGTTGCGGGCGGCGCGGTTGGTTTGTAGTCTCGGGGTAAGTTCATGGCGGAGGTGCGCGTGAGAGTGGGAGGGACTCCCTCACAGCTTCACACCCGTGCGAGTGAGACAGTGAGATGATGTCCTTCGGGTAGTTTTCTCGCGGAGGATGTTTTGGTAGGATTACCGAGAAAATGTGTGACGGTATTAGGGGGTACCATATTATGGATCAGTCTTAACATCTTGAATAGTAAATAATGAAGAAATTGTCCAATTCTCCTACAACTTGGCACAAAACTCCAAAGCATGCCTCTAGATCCATACATCGCTTTGGGATTGGCTGTTGAAATACAGGAAAACCGTAACAACGCCATCGCTTCCCATGAACAAGTAGCCGTTATGGGCCTCACTGTGCTGAAAATGTGGATCACATATGATATTTTCGCCCCACGAATTTTATTCATAATTGATTAGTGACTTGGTTGCACAGGTTATTCGCTGCCTGAATAGCTGCTTTTTAGCCTCGCAGCAGCCCGGCGCTGGGCCCGACGCTGGGACCGGTTAGCTTTCAGACGCTCCGCTCGAGCAGGCATTTGAGCAAGCCAGATGCGGTGTTGCTCTTTTCGCGCCTCCTCCTCCACCTTTGCTGACGCTTCTCCTCCAACTCCCGCTCTTTCTGTGCCCTTTTTGCGGCTGCTTCGGCCGCCCGCACCTCACGCTGCAACGCTGCTTCTTGGCGCTGCAAAGAACGCTCTTCAAGCACCTTGAGCACATCATCCCTTGTCAATAAAGCTCCTGATCTCGTTATCAAAGTACCGCTTTCAATGACACTGCCGTCACTGCGCAGCATATTTCGGGAATGTGTGAATGCTTTGACAAGGTCCTTGTCTGTGTCGAATGCTGCCGTCTGGTCTTCATCCCTCTCAAAATTGGTGATATCAGTCTGCCGGATCACACCAGCATTAGCTCCCCCATGTCCTCTTTTCCACACACCGCATGCATCGAAACCGCTTATGATATTGTCCGGACGGACGGACTCGTAGTACACCCGTGTCAATATTTCGCAGAGTGTGTAGATATCATTCGTTTTTCCCGCAACGGAATACGCTCTACTGTTCAACAGGTTTCGAAACGACGTCTTGAATGGCGAAAAAACCGCATAATCGAGCACTTGAGTCCTGTGACTTGTGTGAGCGTGCAGACCGATGACAACAACACGGCCGTTCTTGAGGGCGTGAAGAGACCTGTACGTGCAATGGGCACCGTAACTATCCATTTTGAGAACAATGTGGCGGTGTTTCTCACGCAGTATTTTGGTCTCCTCCAGAAACTTTAATGTCCACTGATAGAAGATTTCGGAGTCCACACCAGCCTTCTCCCGGTACACGCAATAGGAATTGGGAGGGAGAAAGCTAGCAGGAGTTTCTGTCGTTCCGTCAGAGCGAATGCGGTGTTTGGTTTTTTTGCCAGGCAGCACTGTAAGTGGGCTCCAAGCCCGCCCGTCTCCAGACACAACTGGCATAATGGTGACATGCCCAGCATTGCCAGACCACTTCAATTCGGTTGAGTTACTTTTCCCACTTGCGTCAAACACAGCCTTGCTTCGCGCGCGCGCGGCTATACGCGTGGAAAAGCCGCTTTCGTCAATGTTAAAAATTTGTTCAGCCGACGTTATCTTAAACTACTTGTACACTTGTGCGAGACGCACGAAATGTGATGCCAAGTTTGATGGCGACATCGCTAATTGACGCGCTTTTTCTAGACTTGACCTGCGCTTGAGTGTTAGCCTGGAGTGCCGTGCAAAGAATCTGTGCAAATAGCCATTACCAGGCTTTCCATTTTTAAACGGTATCCTTTTTTGTCGCTGCGGAGGGAGGGATTGTACAAAAGTAGCAACAAGAGACTTCAAGCATTCTCGTGACAAAGGTGTGCCTTTTTGCGAAAAGTCTAGCGCGGCATCCACAATAAACGCTTCTTCTGAGGCGGATAACACAGGTGGGCGGCCTTGTGGGGTTGCTGCAGATTGTTTCGGCTGTGCAGCGCGACGCAGGATAGAGTAGGGAACGTGGTGCATCGTTGCGCACTTTCTTATTGAGAGTTGCGAATTGCGGTAGTGGGCGAGAGCTTGTTGGACTGGAACAGAGTTCACTCCCTTGTGCCCCGGAGGGGCGCAAACGCGTTTCGATACCATCCGTTAGCCGCCGATGGGGGAAAGGCACAAGACAAATCTCGAGCGTTAGGGCAAGGCGTGTGGAATGTTAAAGTCGGCCGGAGCAATGGGAAGGGATGTGTTTCTATGGGAAAAAGCGCGCGTAAACTCGTTAGCTGATTTGTATTTAAATATAAAGAGCCGATTCTGCAGTAGACGAATAGAACCACATGTAGGGCTGACAGCAAGCAGTTTTTGTCGCCCAATTAACGATGAATTAGGTTCACAATTACGACGTGGTTCATGTTTTCGGAGCCCGATGATACAGTTGCGGTACAGTATCAGGTTACAGTTGCGCAATATTTAATATATCATAACGGGTTTTACGAATAGACTGAGCATAGCCCATGATTATCAAGAAATATCGTAAAGACCAAGTACTTCTAAATTTTGCTTTTGTTCTGCACATGAAGCAAATCTTTCTGCATGAACGGAGGTTTGAGACCTAGTACTCTCCATTTTTCTCTTTTGCTGACATCAATGCTTAAATATGGCATGGTTTAATTCAGACGATTAGTCCGTTCTCGACTAACCATCTCGTAAATCTCGTAAAAACTGCAATTGTACAGAGTACAGTAACGTTGTCCGTAAAATAACGCGTCGTTTTTTTCCATTTGCCCACAAACTCGCTGGACGTGAAGTAAACCCGAGTTTGAAAAATCCCACCACGAGTTTTGCCGACTAACGGCCCTCAGGAACGGCCCTGAGGGCCGTTCCTAACAAAGAGTTCGTGTGCTAGCACGCAAGCGCCCTGAAACTTGGCATGAATGTATTGGTTGAAAAAATTATTGGAAATGCTTTACTCCCGTTCAACCAATCCATTCATGCCAAATGTCAGGGCCGTTCCTAAGGAAGAGTTCGGTGTGCGTCAGGGCCGTTACCTCCAGCAAGGTACCTGCCCGCAACAAACGCAAGTCTGGTACATCGTTGTGCCGCCCGACGGATCACATGCACCTGCGCGAATACTCGCTGAAGCGAATCTTGCAGCTCGCCACAAGGATAGAAAGGTTTTCAGTCGAAAGGGCGATGTGTTTCGTCTTCTTGACAAGCTGAGGGGGCCGTTTAGAGAGGACTTCTTTTTAGAAGCTTCTACTTGTCTATCTTCCGCGGTTGTTTCGGCGGCATCTGTGGCAGATCCTGTCGCGCATTGATCCAATGATGGACTCTGCGCAGATGAAGCGATAGGGGCGTCCATGACGCATATCGATACGACCCGTGCCGTCTGAAACTCGTTTGTGCTGATGAAAAGAACGGAAGACAAACTTGGTTTTTCTTCACGAGGGGTCGATCTGGTACTGCTGTGATCACGGATCTGAAACTCCTGGAAAACTCACATGCCCTGAGTTTTCGGTATGCTGTGAGTTTTGCCAAACGCGTTGTTTGAAAGATTTGCGTTCAGAAAATCCGAGCAAACTCGCCGGCTAAACACGCGTTTTCATGACTTTACGGACAACGTTAGTATACTTAAAAGTTTAAGAAAAGAGCGTCACGAAAATACAGTGCGGTTCCTATTTCTTTATTTTTCTTTTATTTTACTTGAAAGTATTCTGCCCATTCCCTAACCACAGACGCGGACCGCTGCTGTGGAGTCACAAGCTGTTGAACTCAGGTCATCGCTCTACGGATACTGTACCTGTGCAACCGCCACCGACCACACGTGTAACGTTTTTGTGTACACCCAGTTTCTTGAAGTGTCACTGTCACAGAGGAGGGGGGCTTTACAGTAGTTGCCACACCAAGCACTTTCGAGGGATCAGTTGATAGTTGTGTCGCCGCTGAAATAAGAGCGGCAGTCTTGTGTCAGTAAGGCCAGGTGGCTCCAATGATTCCAAGGTACTGTACCCTTGGTACAGTACCGTACGCACTGTACAACAATAGGACGTTCTGCAGCCTTTCTGCTCCAGTAGCCGTGCATGATGTACCGCTGGCTCCGCTCTCTTGCAAGATCAAGAATTCAACAGATCATCGCACACATCTTAAGACCCCCTTATTCTCCGGCGCAGCGAACCTACTTAACGATCGCCATGCATGGCATCTCCATCCGCCGGTCTCATCTTACGCGAACACTGAGACAAAAGCATTCACGGGCCTTCATCCAGTCGCACCACCGTGAAGGAAAATCTCGTCTCGTCTCGTCATCACCTGCATCACAATCATTCTTTCCGCCATGGGCTGTTGTTGCATGACCGATGACACGGGATGTAGCGAGCGATGCGACCAATACTGTCCGTGCATTTCTATGTATCCAAGCATGTGCACCGCGTTCCTCTCTCTTATTCTTGCAGCAATCTTCGCAGCTGTGTTTGGCACCTATGCATTTGTATCTCTTAGAATCAGCATCTTCCGCTTTTCCTGGCCTGCCGCTTGGCTCATCACCATCAACGCGTCTTTGCTTGCTATCGCTGCCGCCGGAGCTGTTCTAGTGTTGGCTCTTCTCCTCTGGTGTACATGCGCCTCTGAGACAAAGGGAAGGCTATGTAAGGGGTTTTATTTGTTGGGGTTGGTTGTCGCCGTTCTCGCAATATGCCTAGTCATGGTCGGCTCCATTTTCATTATTTACGGCGCCAGCGGCGACGAAACATCCTTCGCTTCTGAGTTAGAAGTCGTCTGGATGAACGAAGTAAATAATCCCAAGTCTACACTCCCATGCCGCGTTCAGAAACAGTTGTCTTGCCGCGGTTTCGAAGAGGGCGATTGTCAAGACGGCCCCGAAACTGCAAATTTCTCTCGTTGTGGAACCGTGTGCCGAGAAGAAGACGTTGATGGTGGGAAACCAGAGTTTAACATCGTCCGCTTTCCGGGCTGCCGGGAGCGCATGTCCCGCTTTTACATTCAATGGAATGCAGTTCTTCTTGCTGGGTCGACCGTTGCTTGCATCCTCGTGTTGGTCGCTTGCTTCGTGACATGTACATCCGTTACGTTTGACGACGACAAGTGAGATCGATGCTTCGTTCCTCTGAACCGCCACAAAATGATATGCACATTGTGCCTTGTCGTTTCGCCGCCATCTCCCGACATGAGACACGTCAGACACATGTGCGCCAGTTACGGCCGTCTTTGCCGCCAGCTACTCATGGCTCGGCAAGGAATTTTGACCATGACTCCACATTCTGGGTCATGGGTGAAACAAAACCTAAGGTGAATCGTTGCGGAGGAAGCAGAGCCGGGTTGATTCTGACTTCCCGTTGCCTACTAGGAAATCAACTGGGATGATGAAAACATTCTCTGGTATACCGATGCCAGCTCTTTCGCAATGAGAGTGTCGAGCTCCGTAATACCCGGATTACCTTCAGTATTCACCCTTACTTCAACGAACGTGTTGCCGTGATAAATTTCTGGGCAGTAGTGCGCGCCACGTGATATGAAGTGCACATATCTGACGAAAGCCTGAGCACAATCGACGTTCACAAACTTGAACGTTCTTGACAACAACTCACCCTCTCCGTGGGGAACGATAATCCAGCTGCTTTCGTACTTCCCGAGGATCTCCCTGCGCTTTTCTTCAGTCAAGACAACCGCAGAGGACGCACTTTCGAGCAATGTCATTGAAGACAGTGAAGACGTCATGTCGAAAGGTTGGCAGTCTCTGGTTGCGACAACAGCGACTGTTTTTTCGGTCGACAGAAGAATCCCTGATGTTTCAACTTGAGCCATAGAACACAACTGATGTTCGAGGGCTAGCAGTTGTGTGAATGGCGCCAGAGCCAAGTCCGCAATGTGGCTTTGGTCAGTTCTCAAGGATGCACCTCTTACGCCGAGATCTACCAGTACGCCAGAACAGAGAGATTCCGTCGCTAGACCGGGGAGAAAATTCACCATCTGGATCGGCACCGAACGCAAGCCGTTCTTGGAGTTCTCAACGTTCTCTTCATGTACAACAAGTACAACTTTATCTGCCATGTGAGCTGCGTACTTGTCTCCGCTGATGTTATCGGAGCCAATCACCGCGTTACAATCTGCATCCACCGCATCCACGAGTGCGAGAAACACATCAAGTCCCTTCTTAAAGTTAACGGCAAGATCCGAAGGCATACCTCTATCTCTGAGCAAGGCCGCTGTAGTAGGGGACGCGGAGACGAATGCAACATCAATGAGTCCTTCCACTTGATTGAGGGAATCGAGCGCGTCCACAAGCTTTGTTACTTCTTCCGTTTTCCCGCCGCCAATACCTATGTTCAGACCTGACTTGATGAAGTCTTCAACAGCTGCGTCAATTCCATATTTCAGCACTATGTCCCGAGAAGGTGTTTCTTCCATTGAACATCGCGCCGGTAGAACTCCTGTATTCTTTGTCGGTAGGGCACTGGTTCTGAAAATTTTTCGAAGTGACCCACATTTCGTTGAAAGTTTTGAGGCTGATGATGAAGATGTGAGGGTGAAGGGAGTAACAAAACCAGTGCGGAGGTTCTCACGTCTTCCCATCTTGTGTTCTCGGAAGACTAACGCAATGCACGATCGCAATTGATATTGTTGTGAGCTTGGGGCGAGCTAGCCCGTAGTTGAGCTATTGTGACACTTTGACTCGTTTTTCAGCCCTCGCATCATCTGAGGAATGTTACCTGCTTATGGGTTGCGGAGATGAGCTTAGAAATTTCACGTGCAGTACGAAGCGTACGGTACTGAAAGCAAAGTGCTTGATCTCAAGCACAATTTGATCCTGCTCTTCTCCACAATTCTTTTCGCACAAAGAAATTATGGCATGCCTTTTTTGCAGGATTTCTTCAGCATTTTCAAGCACAGATGCTGTCGTGGATTGTACTGTACACGTACAGGACCATGGGTACTGTACAGTGGCCCTTACGCATTAGTGCCGCCCCGTGTGAAACCCCAAAAATGTGCACTATTGGGAGACGGCATTAGTAAGTGACGTCGTCGTCACACCTATCTGCATGCACTCGGTAATTAACATCTGCCTGCTCCGCGTTGGTTCTCTGTTGCGTTTCGCAGTGAGAAATGCGCGCTTTGCCGACCTTAGATGCGATAGAGCGTCTGGAACTTGGCACTCAGTCGTCAAAAGTTCCAGCTCTCCAAACAATTTCGCGATCCCGACGACATGGGGGATAGTCTGTCTATTGACTGTAACATTACCCCATATTGCGCTCTCATCTTCATCACTTGATTGCATTTTAGGTGGATTCTGCACTACCTGAACCGTCTCCAAAAACATCCATGGCGTCATTGACAGACATTTCCACCACACTTTGGCAAAGTTGAGAAATTCAAGGAGGTTCAGTTCGACATGGGGGACCAATACGGACTGACGAGTCTTCATTTGAAGTGATTTGGGCTTCTCGCTTGCCACGCGGAGTAATTCTGGAGCAGTTGCTTTGATTTTGCGTACAGTGCGCTCTGCAATGCCGGACTGTCGCATGACTGCTGGTGTGCGGTGTCCATTGTGGAGCAGTTCTGCGATTTCGAGATTCTGCGAAATCGTCAGGCGCCTGGGCGTCGCTTTTTTTTCAGGAACAGGAGTCATAAGGAGCACAAGCAAAGATCCGTGAACAGAGCTCGGTGGCGTGCGGAGGATCGGACTACCGGGCAGCTTTCACATGTTTGACACGTACGGACGGTAGCCTAATGGCCGGAACCGTATGACATGTGGCACTTTTCGTGTTCGTGTGTCTGGGCCTGCACTATTGGGAGGTTGGCACAAACAAAAGCGACACTAATGCGTGAGGGCCACTGTACTTGACACCTCGCTGGACTCGGACAGTCCAATCATGGACCTCAGACAGAAGGTTGCCTATGAAGTACATGTCCTTCCCATCTACAGAGCTTTCATTATATGCGCCTACCAAAGCATCACGAGAGCCGTAACAGGTGCAGATGTGTTAGGCTGTGTGCTTTGATTCAAGAAAGTTGTCGCCAGCTGAATCCCATTCCGGGTTTGACAATGGGTATGCGTGGGATGCATCTCACGCCGCGACCCATGCAATCGTCGAAAATTCCCAACTTTGAATCTCCTCCTTGTTACATGTAAGGAATGCAGTTTTGGCGCCCTGGTGAGGAATTTCGTCCGGACAGAGAAGAAATTCTTGCCGCTGGAATACAAAAACCCCTGCTTTCAGATCACCAGAGAGTGCGGGTGCTATATGCTCTTGAACAAGGCAAAAACGTTATCATACAAGGAGACCCTGGAACTCAGACATCAAAGGTCATCGCAAGTCACTTAGTTGCAGCCGGGTGGTCATTAGACGGGCGTTGTGTCGCGGTTGCACTCCCACGCCAAGTTGCGGTGATAAGCTCCGTTGTTCATGTCGCTGAAGACAACTCTTTGGACGAATCACATCTGGGTGGTGATCATGTCGGCTTCGTATTAGAATCCAGCGTGAAGCGTTCATCTACTACAAAACTAGTCTACTTCACTAATCGCTCGTTGTTGCAGACTCTCCTGAAAGAACCGCTATTGGGATCTGTGTCCGTCGTCATTGTAGATCAATTTCATGAGCGCAGTATCGGCGCTGACTTGTTACTAGCGTTGTTGAAGAAGGTTCAAAGGGTGCGCACTGACCTTTGTATTATTGTAATAACTGCAGAGTTCACAGATCGCATATGCTCTTATCTCGGAAAGGCTCGCACTACACAAATGTTCATTGCACAGCGGGGATTTCCAGTGAGTATCTTCTACACAAAGCGCCCGGTTGAAGACTATTTACAAACTGCCATGAAGGTCATCCAGGATGCTTTCTTGCAATGGATTCGTGCTGGCCAACCAGATTCGACGGGTGTACTCATGTTCGTGCAGGGCACGGAAGAAGCAGAACTATTTTGCAGTACCATAAATGAATGGTCTAAAACAAACTCTGAAGTGCTGAGGAGCAATGGTCCGAAAGAGTCTGACGGTTCATTCAGAAAGAAAAATGGATCTGCGCAGCAGGTCTTGGCGGTTTCGCTTTATTCTGGTCTTGATGTCGGTCAACAACTTTCTGTTTTATCGAATGCAGTTAATGAGAATTGTCTGAAGGTTGTCGTTTCTACGAATATTGCAGAAACAACCGTGACTGTGCCAGGTATTAGTACAGTTATTGATTGCGGGCTCGAAAGGGTTGAGATGTTCGACCCACGTATGAAAACAAGCTTCATCTCCACAGTCCAAATATCAGCCACATCCGCGCGAAGGAGGGCAGCCAGAGCTGGTATTAATCAACATGGCAGTTGCTTCCGATTATATACTCACGGTCACTTCAAATCTGCTATGGCGGAGAGCCGGCCACCGGCAGTCCTTCGCTGCGAACTTACGGAAATGGTGCTAATCCTGAAAGCAATAGGTGTGGTTGATGTCACTTCGTTTGACTTTCTCGAAAGACCAGATGGTGGTCTAGTGATCGACGCGCTTGAGCGCTTGTTTTTCCTGGGTGCTATTTCCGGCACCGGTAGTCTCACCACAGAAACTGGTGTACGTATTTGCCTATCGTCTGCTAATCCTCGCATAGGCAAATGCATTCTTGTAGGGGAGTCTTACGGCATCGGGCGCGTGATGGCAGCAGTTGCAGCATTGCTCGAAGTAAGGCAGGTGCTATTTAACACAGGGCGCAGCAGCAGAAGCTCGAGAGCGCTATTTTCCGTGGCGGAGGGAGACATAATCACAATGCTCAATGTCTGGAGGCGATACGTCAATAGCAGCTTCTCAGATTCGTGGTGTGCGGATCACGGCATCAACCCTGCCGTAATGCAGAAGGTGAGACGTTCCTTCGCGAGGATAGTAAGAACGAATTTGAGGCTGCAATCCAAGGATGAGAGGTTCGCGGCGGCTCGTAAGGCGATTGGTTTGAGCTTGGTTGAGTGTGTCTGTCGGTCGATTACCGCTGGGTACTTTGAAAACGCTGCCATGGTTGAGCCGGATGGATCATATCTCGTAGCTTTACCAGGAAGAAGGGTCAAGATACACCGCCAGAGTGTGCTATACAAAAGGATGCCGAAGTGGGTGACATACATGGATCTCTCGCAAAGTTCTACGACGTGCGAAATGAAAGATGTCACGGTCATACAACCACAATGGCTCACGGAGTACGCCAGACATCTCTTCGAAACTGTGACAGAGAAGTTTCAATCGTAAGGCCGAATGCGATGAAAGAAACCGTCGTGCGGGTGGGCTGCTGGTCGTAGTCTGTTATTCATTCATTAAATGTTTTGAGGAGCGTGTGCTTATGATATGTCTTCGACTTCCATCACTTGCTCGGCATCAACCTCAGGCGTTGATTCATGCCATGGCATTGGAATGACTACAGCTTGTTTTTGGACGGAATCACAAAACCTCTTCGTGCCGCCTCTCCACGGCACTAGAGCAAGTTTTCGCTTGTTGCGGTTGTTCTGCACTTCCTTAAGCACCCACTCATCGGCGCCCGGGTTTCGCACGAAGTACTGACCATTCGGCAAGAGCCCGCTCAACTCAGAAAAACCGGCGGCAGATGTCTTGACAGGAGGACGATACACGACCAAGCGATTTTCTTCGCTGATAGGGGCGTCGATGTCCTCAACAATAACGTTATCGTTTGACGTCTCCAGGCGCATGTGGCTCGCCTCGTAACCCTTCACGTCCACAGACTCGCTATCTCTCATATAACCTTCGTTGTCATCGTCCAACATCATGGATACAGAGCTTGAGCTCGATGAAGAAGGGGTGACGACATCTGACTTTGGCGTGGTTTCCCTGCTGAAGAGTTTCGGTCTCTCGTCAAGAGTGTCTGCAAAATCTGCGCTAAAAGTGACTCCATTATCGTGTTGATATACGTTTGGCGAAGCAAGTTGTGAGTCATGCGCAACCCGCGTTCGCGGAGAAGCATAAAGAAAAGGCGAGGAGACCACAGAAGCGCCGAAGAAATGCTGCGGGGGATGCTGGGGCTCCGTCCTTCCGCCAATGCGGAGCGATTGCAGTTCGGCGGCGAGAGCGGAATTCAGATGACGCTTCACTTGAGGGCCTTCAGCGGTGGGACCGGGCTCGGGGGAGTGGCGCTTTCGAGACATGAGGGCATTATGCGGAAGAAGGGGATGCGGTCGTTCACGGTGACCGGCCCATGCCAAGTCGTGAGGGACGGACAATGGACTGGCTTTGAATGATGCCGTTTTGGCGATGTGGTTTGAGAATAACAGAGTGAGGTGCAGAGTGCAGAGTGGACTGGTCAGATGTATAGGTGGGACCGGGTGCGGGATGGGGGAGGAGGGATGGTAAGGGAGCAGTGCATGTGGGAATTTTTGCTATGGGACTTTCTGGAAGCTTCGAGATGTTTTTCCGAATTAAATTGGCAGATTGGGCCACTGCCACGTGCACATTGCGAATCGGATACTGACTGCGGTTCAAAGGAGGCCAAGCAACCCTCTGAGATTGCGATATCAGCCAATTATTGATGCCACCTAGTGCCATCTTACAGTATGTGTACAGAATTTAAATCTGCTCCGTCTTGAGGCAGTTCGAACCAGTGTTTACGCGTCGGCGTACGGGGCAGTCACCCCTATCATTTGGACAATGCGGGGTTTTTAACACGCACTTCGCCTGAGAACCGGATCAAAATTTACCCATTTCTGTAAGAATTATGAAGTGTAAGGCGTTTCCAGTGTAATCTAGAACTATCGGGAACTGTTGAGGACGTTTAAGCAACGGCGCTGTACTGCGCTGTACCTTGCTGTCAGCCCGCACGCGGGTTACAACCTTAATTCGCCAACGCATCCAGCGCACAGTATCCTTGCTGTACTGGTTACATTTAGTGTAACTGTGATTCCACACAAACACTCAAATAAGGCAGATTTGCTGAGCTATATAGGTTTTCACCCGAGCTACTAAGCCACGGTTTCCTGTACCAACTTATATTTTAGAACTCTATAAAAGGCTGAGTTCGTTCGGGCTTAGAGGACTAGCCTCAACCATTACCAACCGAACATCAACGACTATCAACAAGAAGTATTTCCTCAGAACGAACTACCCGATCTACTGTTCACCTCAGACAGGCTGTCCCCCACGCCCATCGGGGGGTACCTTCGGACATCGGCAAGTAGGTGTCCAATCCGAGTTTCGTTTTGAAGGGGTGCTCCCGAGGACCATCTATCAAGCTATCTAATCAGCTTTACAGTGTAACAGCTGTGAGGCGTGGTTTTTGCCACATTGCGCAATTGAGCAAAACTTGGTTAAGTTACTGTCTCTGTTTAAGTACCTGTGGGCTGGAGTGCCAGGTACTAGTTGTCTGTTGCAGTACATGTGGGGTAGAGTGCCAGGTACAATTTGTCTGTGCTCAATACCTGTGGGCTGGAGTGCCAGGTATCTGAACGTGCATCGGCACTGAGTTATTACACTTCTAGGGTGCGTTGCTTCTGTACCAAGATCTCTTGCTCGACTCGTCGTTCCTCCATCGGTCTCTCTGAGACGGATAACGGTGTCGGTCGTAAGAGCTGGTGGAGTGGCCATGGTCTGAGGTGTACGGGAAGGGTGGCGAGCTAGGAGCACAAACGCTCTTTCGCCTCACTGTGTTTCTGTTGATTGCTGTTGGCTTGGTAGCGAGTGGCAAACTGTCGTTAAGTCGCATTGCTTGGATCAGGGCCTTGCCAGTGGTGTTGAAGCTTTAAAACCGTGCCATGCTACGTTCCTGCAAGAGACCAGTCTGAGGTTAAAGGCTGTCGTGCAGTTTACTGTATAGCCTCTCTAAGGAAGTCTCGTAAGTATCAGAAAGCGCCTTTCTCTGAGAACGCGGAGAGGGGTAGAACGCTGAAATCATATCCTGACCCGGACTGTATTCGGGCGTCAGAGGTCGGACCTCAACCACCTGCAGGGGCTGCAGGCTTCGGGAGTCAGACTCCAAAGAACCTACCTGTAAGGGCTACAGGCGCCAAGGGTCGGACCCGAACATGTGAACAAGGAAGTCGTCGATCGTCTTCAGACTGCCACCGATCTACCTTCGTCGTCCAATCTGGTCTTCTCCGTCTTTGACAGGATTGAAGCCAAACGTCTTCCCAGTCGCAGGCTTCTCCGTCGGATTGGGTCTTGTTCTGCCACGCGGTGGAAATGGCTTCTTTGACTCGAGCACAAGCGGGCTTTATCAACTCCGTCCGCATACTCGACGATGAAATCAGATCTGGACCACTTTCGTCAGAGGATCTTAAGGCTGCAGTGGCCGAGATGTTCCCTCCGGCCGTACTATTTGGTGATTAAATCAACGCTTTACCGTACGCTCACCGTGCTCTTCGAACTTGGCTTCTCACCAATGGCGCCAACCTCACTCAGCACAGTAGCCGTCGGATTCCTCTCACCTTAGCAACAAGCCTCTATGACGAAGCTGAAGGCCGGGACATCGCCGAAACATTTGCTCGTGAGCTTGTGGCAGCTGGAAAGAAAAAGTGGACCAATGAGCCAGGAGTTGTCGCTCCGTCTGTCGACGTCGTTCATACCACAAACTTCGATGCTAGCGTTGCTCATAAGATTGCAATGCGTTTCACGGATGAGACAGAAGTTTTCAGGAGCAGTTGGAGAGTTCTTCAACGACTTTGTTGCGGATTACACACGTGCTGCTAGTGACTACGACCTATCTTCCTCGCAGAAGCTTCATTATATGCATAACCTATTTGTGGTACAACTCTCCTCAAACCCTAGCGGGCGAGAGGCTCGGAGGATGAGCCGAGGGAGCTCGCGACGCGAGACGCGCGGCGCGCGGTAACCGATCGGACGAGCTCGCGAAAAGGGAGTGGCTCACTGGCCGGTTACGCGCAGTTGCCCCGTGGTGCGTGAACGGGAGCGACCGGTAACGGGTTAGAAGCCATCGCGCGCGATAGACAACCGAAACGGACGTATATAGGCGCGAAAGGGACGGGGGCGAGCTTGCCCCAGTTTACTGGTGGGGACGGGTGTCAGGTCTTAACCCCTCAGAGGGACGCCTCGGACACCTGTCCCAGTATACAGTACCTGCCGCCTAGTGCGTACCAGGTACTGTACGCCATTAAAAAACTAGCGCCTCAATTCCTAATTACCGCGCGGACGCTGCAGCTACACGTGTGTACTACTGTACACACGCGCTGCTTACAGACTACCGCACGGATGCCACGTGTGCTAGCGTACACGCGTCATACTGGTAGACTACCGCTTGGCCGACACGTGCACTACTGTACACGTACGCCAGATTACGACCGCTCGGCACGCGCGCGCTCCCTACACGTGGGCACACCCGCCCACGTGTCCACCGTGCACGGCCGCACTGTTAATAATCTCCCCGCGCGCGCGTCCGTCGTTATACTACAGACCCCCTTCCTTAGCTTTCGCTACGTCCTCGTAGCGACCACCCATCCGACCACGGAGTTCCGTTCCGGTTTGTCTTCTCCCCTGCGCGCGCGAACGACCATGCCTCCTAGCTCTTCTTTAAGTGGGCGCTCTGTAAGCCCGCTGTCTCGTCCGATTCGGTAAGCGTGTCCTTCACTTCCCTTCAAGCGAAGCCCGCCGAACCCTCAACTCACTCTCCTCACTCTTCTCACTCTCCTGCGCGCGCTGCCTCCTCCTCCCGCAACGGCATCCCCCTACAGTAGCTCCTGCCGCATCCGAGAACGGTCGACCGCGAGAGTCCTGCTGCAGCGCCTTCGTACAGTGCGCCGTCGAGCCCTGCGGGGGCTCCGGCGTCGGCGCAAGCGCCTCCCGCGTCCCAACTACGACGTCGCCTCTGCGGAGAGCCGCGATCGGCCCCCGAGTTGGCCGGGCTCGCGCTCGCGTCGGTCGATTCGTCCGATTCGGTCGAGCGACGGCGGCATGGCGCACACGCAACGCAGCGCTCGCCGCGGCCCTCTGGAGGGCCGGGCGAGGGTCGAAGGACGGCTGTGCCCTGCCCCCCCGCACACGGGCGAGACGCGAGCTCCGTGTGGACGGTCGGGGTAATTTCCCTTTGTCAACCACCCTCCCGGAGGGCTGGCCAATTTGTAAAGAATCTGCGTTCATTTGCCATCCCAAGAGCGGCGCGAGCGGCGCACCCGCCGTAGTACGGCACCACACGGTAGTTTCACGCGTCTCCCTTGCGGTAGCGGCCTCTATTGCGCCAGCACCGATCCAAAAACCGTACGGAGCGCCCTCTTTCCACCAGCCCGAATTAGAAACTGAAAGAAACGATAAGAAACGATAAGAAACCGGAAGAAACCGATTTGGTTTCCAAATATGTCCGAATGCGGTTTTCCCGAGGCGACACTACCGGACGCGGAATGCTCCCAGGAGTACGATGCCGTTGTCAGAAATGGGCTACAATTTTTTCCCGCAGCGTGGGAGGGAAAAACGTAGCCCAAATCGCGACTAAATTAAAAAGCCGGCGAACGCGATACATCTCAATACAAAGTACCGGTTCCCGGTACGGTTCTCCCTTTCCATAGGCGTGTGCGAGCGCGATCATCCGAACGGTGCGACCAGGCGTGGCTGATAGCTATCCGCGTGGACGCTTGGGAGAACTTCGGATTGTGGACCACCCTCCCGGACGGCTGGCCAATTTTGGAAGCATCTGCATCCATTTGCGCGGGATCCACCCGGTACGAGCTGCGTGGCGGTGCGCAGTCACACGCAGCTGGCTGCCGGGGCTGCATAGCACGTGCGCGGCTTGTTTTCCCCAGGGGCTTTTGCGCGAGCGAGCGTCCGAGCGGTGCGACCGAGGGCGGCCGAAACTTGCGCTACGCATGCACGCTTGATCCAGGTTGGCGCGAGCGCCAATACCGGTCGATAAACGGCTGCGGAAGCCCATCGGCGGGCTCGTAGGTGTCGTCCGAAGCGGTATATCCATACCACCGGACCTTGTAGTCGATCCCGCCGCGCGTAGTACGGTGTCCAACAATGCGGTCAACGACGTACTCCCCTCTTGGCGTTGCGGCTTGTGCGTCCGATTCGGTTGATGTGGCCGGGGTGACGGTATCCCCCGGCCCGCGCGGCATCTTCGTAACGCGGTCGATGCTCACGCGATTTTCCACGCCGTCCTGCTCGATGAGGACCGTGGTGTCCGTAGCGGAGCGCACGCGAAACGGAC